TGCAGTTGTCTGCTACATATTGCAACTTTATGGTAAGCATTCTAATTGTGGTAAGGGAATGTTCTAGGATAACGCAAAATATGTAATTACCGCTCTCAGTTGCCTGAGTCAAGTTTCTTAATCTGCACGTCATAAAATATGAACAACAAAAGTCTGCTAATCCAAAATATGTCCTCCTATATATTCCTATGTAAAATCTTTTGTCCTTTACTGTGGCACCAAACCAGAGGCCAAGACTTGAAAAAAAAAGCACCTACCTGAGGATGCTCATATGACTGATCATGACTCTGCTCTTTTTTTCGTATATTTTTGAGTAAAAAATCCTTGTGCACTCATATGAAAAATTTCAATCTCTATAATTATGGCCCCATCCTAGCCTTAACGGCAATGATTGAAAAAAAATGATTATGCATTATCCGAGGTTGCTTGGATATAAATATGACTAATCAGGATTCTACTTTCCTTGGAAGATATTAAAGATTTTCCACATGTATATCCTTATGTTAAATTTTAAACACTAGTCGTAGACCTTGTCCTAGCACCAGGGGTCATAATTTGAACACATTTCATTCTACACTACCTGAATATGCTTGAAAATTAAATGTCAAATCATGATTTAGTTCTTGTGAGATTTTATTTTGTTTTCTCTATGTGAAAACTTTCATCATTTACTGTGACCCAGCCTTAGCCCAATAGACAATGGCTTGAACAAATTGGATTTTTTAAATACATGTACTTGGGATGTTGCATAATTATATGATAATTCATGGCGTTATTATTCTTGAGAAGACGATTTAAAAAAAAAAAAAAAAAAAAAAAAAACTGATTATTAACTTGTACAAATTTGGACTCCTATTTTGGTCACATCCTATTTCAAGAGACCGTTAATTGAACAAACGCGAATTTCCACTATATCAGGAAGCTTTCATGGTTTCATCTTTCTTGAAATAATTTTTTAAATGATGCCAGTAATTACCTGCCCTCAAAGAGGATGAAGCTCTTTATTTGAACAAACATGAATTCCCTGCACCCAAGATTTCTTTGTGGCAATTGTGGTTGAAATTGCTTCAGTGGTTCTGGAGAAGAAATCGAAAATGTGAAAATTAAGTTCACAAACTACACAAAACAAATGGGCATTTTCAATTAGAGAGCTCCCTTGACCTTTCAGGTAACGTGTTTTAAAAAGCAATAAGGGTTATGATAATCTCTTGAAGTGGTGGTTTCAAAGTCTTTAATGGTTTCACCGAACGAATTTATTGTACAAGGAACATAATTTGGTACGTCGCTGAAAATTTCTGAATGTAAATTTCGCAATTAACATTTCTGATCACTATAGTCGAAACAAGTATTCTATACCCGTGGGTTTTCTCATTTTGAATAAACGATTTTAAATAGTTAAATGCAACTTTGAACTTATTTGATAATTTTCTTTGCATTCTAATTAATGCTCTCTTACGAACATTAATGTGCTGCAAAGAGCAAAGGAGTGTAGTCCACTGGGTAATACATGTATTATTAATTTATATATTTAACAAAGTCAAACAATAACTTTGATCTCTACAAGTATGCCAAGTAATTTTTGATATAGTGATTTGTTTCACCTTAAAAAAAAAGATATTTTAGAAATGAATTAACTGAAAATACAAAGCACATCATTACACAAAATAAAGACAATTTATCCGATGTTTTTGTGTAATTAAATCCCAAACATGCCATTGTTGTCGTTACATTTTTGACGGTATTCTATTGAATTATATAAGAAAAACGGCCTTTTTGGCTCGTTTTGAGGCAAGGTTTTGTTTCAAAAAATATCAATAACTTTTAAATGGTGCAGACGAAATTATTTCCCCTTTGGTATTTTAACAAAGAATTGATTTGAAATAAATCAATGTGAAAAAAATTAATATGTCTTCGGGTTAGTTTTCGTGTAATTTAAATGTGTATAATTGCTTTTATATCGCAAAATGTAACAATTTTAGGAACGACGTCATAAAATATCGCGACGTCATGCTTGACGTCGCTAATATCTATCCGGTATTCAGTGCAGAAAAATAAGATAAAATGATTTTTATAAAAAAGAAATTCACGTCTATATGCTTTCAAGTGACCCGTGAATCGTATCATAATAATTCAATATCAATGAAATGATTATTAGACATGCTTCTCTTAAGATTAGGGGTTTTGTACGTCTTATATTTGTTAAAATTCTCGCAAGGGACATAAAACAACACTCAATCCTTTAGTTTCTTTCTTCCAATTTACTTTCTTTATGTGTTGTTTTCTTACCGTTTCTTTTCTGCCTGTTTTGTTTTGCTTTTTTCCCCTTAGATTAGACGTATATATCCTTACATTTGGCTGTTTTTTTCTTCTTTTTTCCAGCGTGCTGGCGAAAAATGGTATTCTTTAATTCAAGTATTTAAAATGTTTTTATTTAGACCATACAGCAAGGCGCTCAAATCTACGAATTTCTGCCAAATATCGTCTCGGCTAAATACAATATATTTTCAGTATATATTTAAACAAAATATCTATTTTTACATACCACATTTTCAGAGGGGTAAACGGGACGAGGATATAAAAATTCATTTTATCTGACGTAATCAACAGCCATTTTTTTTAGAACATGAATTCTACTTGTTGGACATGGAAAGCAATGTAGCGAATAAAATCTGTAGGTAACTGCATTGCAAGCTGTTGCTTAGGGGACTATCAATTCATTCGGGGGGGGGGGGGGATGGGGGGTGTGGGGGCTTACAGATTTTGGAAATAAATAATCTATCTTCGACTGGGCAAGAAAATAAATAATCTGTCTATGACTAGTTCTAGCACCCCCCCCCCCCCCCGGGAGTTTTCAACTTTCAAATTGATGTTTTTCTTACTTTTTTTTTTCTTTTGCTTGTCAGAATTTATCAGTGAAGAAGAAATAAATAATCCGTCATTGTTTTTTTTTTTTTGGGGGGGTGGGGGGGGTGGGGGGAGGGTGGTGGCAAGTTTTACCGAGTCAGATTGTTTATTTTCATGTCAGTGAAATACAGATTATTTATCCCCCCCCCCAATAAATAATCTGTCCTTGTTTTTTTTTTTGGGGGGGGGGGGATAAATAATCTGTCCTTCACTGACATGAAAATAAACAATCTGACTCGGTAAAATTTGCCACCCCCTTCCCCCCCATTCAAATAGTTGTCCCCTAACAGTAGGTCAGTGTCGCTAAAAAATTGTCTTTATGCTTCATCGTACCTTAGCAGTGCATGTATTTAATTTATGATAAACTTGTAGATCTTTACATTTTAAAAATATCCTTTTTAAAAATAAAGTTTAATCTTTTGATGTAACAGGTGTATTTGCGATTTTTTTAAATAATGGCTTTTTTCTTAATGAAATAAATTGTTAATTCAAATACGATCAAAGGAAAAAAAAAGGTCAGATGAACCTTGTGTCCATATCGTTTTGCGATACCAAGTGAAAACAAATTAATCGGAATTTCTCCGGCCTTTCCGACAAGCCGAGAAACAACTACTTATTTTTCCAAGCTTGCGGGAAAGGCCCAAGAAGATGCGATTGATAATTATGACGTCATAATCAAATGTGCACAAGAAAGTCGCCCAAATCATATAAATTGCGTACCCAGTTTTAACGACGTCAGCAAACCCGCGACCTACGTTAAAATGCATTTCTGAAAAAAAAGAAACGTCCGTATAAATGTTGATAATTAAGCTTTTTTCACAAATCTATTTAAACTTATATGGAGGTAATTTTGGCTCTCCGGATTGAGATCAGGGGTAATTGGTCAGTTTGTGAAGTGTTACTGTTTCTAAAAACACCATGCCGTTACCCCGACTGTCATGTAATTCTTTAATGATATTAAATAAATCACTGTTGAGCACTGTGAATTAGAACATGTATGTCTATCTTTTGCCGTTATCTATTAAATTATATTATTAGACAAGCATTGTACATTAAGTGAAAGTTCAGACAGTTTTAAATATGGTAACAGTGCAGAATGAACTTTCTCTCTTTCTTTGTAGGTTGTTAAACGTCCCTCTCGAGAATTTTTCACTCATATGGAGACGCCATACTTGCCGGTGGAGAGCTGCAAAATTTTGTCCTATACTCGGCACTTACGGCCATTGGGTAGGGAGGGATCTTTTTCGTGCCAGCACCTACTGCGACACGGGACCTCGGTTTATACTGTCTCATCCGAAGGACCGGTCTCCACGTCCCACAGTGGGATTCGAACCCGCGACGTAAGGATCAACTCCTTACTCCGCGACTCTAGAGCAGACGCTCTAACCACTGCGCTACGCGCAGAATGAACTGGTGTGCCATCTGCTCCGGGAAATTACCAATATCTGATTTTACAGGCATGCATGCTTTATGTTTTTCTTAGTTTTTTCTTGTCTAATGAAATTGAAATAAAATATATGTACTTATAGTTTCCTCATCAAGATAAACAGAATGTTTCCAGCTTCTAACGTTTTTTAGTCTTCTTGTGAATATGGCTAAGTACTTGACAAAAATGTCAAAAAATGTGAACATTTGTATTTTGATACGATTAATCGGTGGGAACGTCTTGCGGTTAACCGATTAGCAATTCTGTTTTCGATTACCATCCCTAAGATGATTGGTAGATAGATAGATAGATAGATAGATAGATAGATAGATAGATAGATAGATAGATAGATAGATAGATAGATATTGCAAAAACATAATTTGTGTAGAAGGAATATGTGTAAACAATTAAAAGAGGTGGGATTGAATGAATAACAATAGAATTGATATTGATGTTAAATAGTTTTATGTTAAAAACAATCACCGTCTAGTAGAACAGCTGCATTTGGAAGAAATATTGTATGATTATAATATTTAAAAATATATATATAAAACGATAAAATTTGCACTTCATGAGCTAAATCAAGTTTTTGAGTATCATATATAAAATGTTAAAGGTTAAGGTTTAGTCTGAGATTTATTTACTAAAAAAAAAAAATTTTGTCATAGAACTAAATCGTCGATTTGTTTCCTTCAAATATTTTGACATCTGATGCCTCTGTGTTAATTCTTTTTTCCATTAACGACGTAGTTCCTGAAAATCAAAACAGAGCACATTTTAATATGTCTGTATAAGGTAAAAAGTTCTAATCAATATATGCCTAATTTCCTTTGATCTACCCTCCATTAGACCTTGTAAAGTTCAAAATATCTTTTAATTAATCTTGTCTAAATAAAGGACTTTCCTCTTTTAAAGAAGAAAAATCTGATTTGCTTTCGATGTCAAAGAAATTCTCGCGGCGCCGCCCTACACTACGCGGTCATTGAGAATGGAAGTGAGATACAGTTATTTGGACATTAGTTTTATTTGAGGATCGTTACCAATACACATTGTAATGAACTTAATTTTATTTATAAAGCACATTTTACAACAACTCTTAAATTAACTAAACTGCCCTAAGTGAAAAAAAAAATATTAACATAGAAAGCACATAGAAATTCCAGTGGCATTGAAAGCAAGTTTTTTGACTTGCCTAGATAGCAGAGCGGTCTAGCGCGCTGTTCCTGTACTGCTAGGAGACAGATTCCGTAGGTCGATGCTGGGTTGGAAGTGGGTATCCTCATGAAAGTGAATTTCTTTGTGCTTTCTATATTAATAGTTCTTCACTTAGGGCAGTTATGTTAGTTTAAGAGTTGTTGTAAAATGTGCTCTAGATAGATATATAGATAGGTATATATATATACACTGAACCAAACTTCTAAATGTTCACCTAACAATTTTTAAGTTATAAAGAACAAATGCATACAATAAATAATTTCTTTAATTCATGGTTAATGATGCTTATTTCAGTTTGACGTTGCGTAAATTTCATGTAAGTATCTCGTCAGACTTTAAAGCGAAGTATCAAGGACATGAAGAACCCCCAAAATGAAAATTCACATAAAATAATCTCTATGGCGTAAGACCACCACTCGCTCTAATTACTGCAAGACATCCTTTTCTCATGGATGCTATGTACCCCTGAACAGAAGGTTTGCCTATCTGCTGCCACACCTACTGCATGAATCTTTCTAAACGTTGAAATTGTGTAAAGGAGGGGGGGGGGGGGGGCTTTGACATTCCTTTTCAAAGTCCCAAATATGTTCAATGAGTTTCAGAGCTGGGGATTTGACAGGCCACTGCATCACACAGAAGCCTTTTGGTCAACACTAAGACCCTCCTTGGGCGTCTCTCACTTAAGTGTACCTCTTTAAGGATGATTCAGACTGTTTGAGATGATACTGGACTGCCATGAGCACCAATTTGTTGTCATTTTCGTACCATTGATGTTGCTGATTTAAATGTTTTTAAAGTGGTTCAGGACCATGTAACAATCTTTTAACTTGGTTGTGACGCAAAACCTTGGCCTCAGACGAAGATCCTGGTCACTTCCGGTTTGATTAAATTTTGTCCAAAGCTTTCAAATTGTGATAAATTGGCGATAAAAATGACACACAACCTATAGAAAAATGTGTTTAAATGGATTTTTATTCAGGTTGTTAATTTTTAAAAGTAATATGAAGGACAAATAAACACTAAAATAAAAGTGAGTGAAACGTGTCGTAAGGATGATCCAGATATCAACATTGCAACGGCTTTCCCTCCTTCCTCAATGGTCATTTTGCCCATGTTTTGTGTTTTTTAGTTAAACCAGTTGTTAAAAATTGATAATGGTCACTAAAAGTAGCTGATTACACAAAACACGTGCCGTAAAGTACAAATTTATTGATTTTAAGCTTCGTCACGGGACATTGGTTTTCATCGGTGATAATTGATTTTCTTTCGACAATTGTTGAGAAGACTCATTGGTTATAATAATTTCAAAATATCATACCATTCTATCGTGTAGTTTTTAAATTAATACAATTATTAGAGTGAACACTTAGAAGTTTTGTTAAATATATATATATATATATATATATATATATATATATATATATATATATATATATATATATATATATATATATATATATATATATATATATATATATATATATATATATCCCATGCTTACCCTTTATCCTGTGGATATGACTCGACTCATTGGATAAATTTTTCATATTCCACAGTTAAGTGCAGTTGTGACGTCACAATGTTTTTTGCGTTAGAGTGATGAAGTAAAATGAAGTCTTTTATAAAACTGTAAAACTGTAAAACATTCGTTGTGAAGTATTAAGCATGGGATAAAAAGAATCTCCCATGATTTGTAGTTGGATATGACTTTTATCCAATTCAGTGTGTGTTTTTATCCCCTCACCAAGGCTCGGGAAAAAAAAAAAACACACACACCTCGTTGGATAAAAATCATATTCAACTACAAATCATGGGAGATCCTATATATATATATATATATATATATATATATATATATATATATATATATATATATATATATATATATATATATATATATATATATATATATATATATATATATATATATATATATACCTGTTTCTCTGTATGTATTTGGCTCTGATGAATGTTTCTCTGCATTACAAGTATCTAATAAACAAGGAATAGATTAAGAATTAGCGAAACTGTTAGAACTTAATCTAACAAGTAAGAAAATTTATCCTTTTTTTCACTTCTTGCTTCTCTGCATTCAAATCGAAAAGAAATTACATTCAAAATTTATCTATTACTGCGATTTATTTCTTGGCCACTGTTTAAAATTACAGGAAGAAATGACCTTGTTTTATTTTATATATGCCATAGGGTTAGGGGCGTATTAATATTTTCTGAGAATCACGAGGTACTGATAGGTTAGTTCTAGCAATAAGTAAGGTAACTTTATTGCAATTGATTCATACTAAATAGGGTTACTTAGTCATCCTGATTCTTATAATGTCACAAGGAAATGGTAAAATGAAATTGTTTCCGGGCTATAAGTAACTCTTAATTGTATAAATTTTAACTTGAATACGCTGTTGTTGACAATTTTATTGAATGTCAAAATGCACTAAACTGCCAATGAGCGGCTGAAATTAGAATACAATTCAATCCATACTTTATGAAAACAATGCATGTTTTCATCTATATTTGAAAAAAGTTAAATGGTCAAGATCTTTATCTGTTGAAATGAAGATTAACAATTTTGTTTAAAAAAGAAAGATTCAAAGATTCAAAAAAATTGTCTTAATGGACATGTAATGCATTGGTTAAAGAAAAAAACTTCAAAAGACCCAACTCTGGTTAGAATGCTGGGTTAACAAGGATTACTTCCATTATAAGAATACTAAAGAATACAAAGTATATAATTTATACAATTTTGATATGAATACATTTCAGATGTTATATTTTCAAGACAACTTAAAAGCCCAAGCATAAACTTAGTAATTTTTTCCACAACAGTTTGTGGGTCAATCTCAATGATTTGAAAATACATACCAGTAGTGTTAGTACTATTTAAGACCCTTTTCTCTTGTCCATTACTTGTATTTTTGTATAAGTATTGATGGTACTGGTCCAGTGCATGATGTTGGAGAAAATGTCGAAAATTATAAACTTAAGATAACAGATGATATACTGGAAAGGATTGACGGAGAAGCAATCGCTTCGGCTTCTGCTTAATAGGGCACAAAATACTGCTGTTATATTTGCTAGCGAGGTTATTATAACGACCATTGAAAATTTGAAATGCTGACTTTCAACGATGTTATTAAATCCCTGTAACAACAATTTATCTGTCTGTAGCCTACCTCGGTTTAAAAAATTAGAGTATGCCTTTGAATATGGAATAAATTGATCGACATAAACACCACATGCAGGTGGTATCGGAATATTACCATGTAAATAAGAAAAGTTGGCGATTGTAATGCTGATGTCATCTTGTTTGTCATATAAAGTGGCAGTAGTTAGCTAGCCCTTGTTATTATCGTCTTTTATCAGTAAAACATCCAAACAAGAAAGAGATGTGGTCAGACTCTGTAGTTTTTATAATTAAAGTTCACATGGATATATAAGATATATCGAATTAACATGTGAATGGAACTTACTATTGTTAATTGATAAAACGTCGTGATATATCTCAATATCGAGTTTAGGGCAACAGTGAATGAATTCTGCTTCATAGGAATATAAAAACAGGTCGGCTAATAAAGGAGCACAATTTGTACTTTTCAAAATTCCAACTGTTTGTCTGAAGACCTGGTCTCTAATGACTATATAGATGTTGTCAATAAGGAACTCCAACATCCTTTTGGTATCAACTTCAGGGCACTTGTGTGTAGAATCAGAGTGAATTTTAACAGTCATTTCTTTGACGACAATCACAAGAAATGAAAATTTACGAATTAAGAAGCAGTAGCCTTGATATCAAAATGTCTCGATTTTAAATTATTGTGAGAAATAGATGCATAAAGTGTAGAAAAGTCATACATTTTGCTTTTACTGACTCTTGAAAAAAATGATTTCAATTTTTTTAAGTTCTATGGAGTTTTTGAGAATACAGGCACATTTGATTTTCACCATATCTATAATATGCAGTAGCACAATTCGTTTGAAGTCTCCCTCCTTTACAACAGTTTATATTTTTGTAAGGAGTAAAGATAGCGGCGTGGTGCACTTGCTGGACCAGGCAATATATCTTAAGTTTGTTTGTTAAGATTTTTATGAACTTTGGAAGCCGAGTATGGGTAGGGTGGATCGAACTCATCTTCGTTGACTGGGATGTTAAATACGTGAAGTCATGATATTTCTTAGATTTTTCATACCTATCTAAATTCTTAAACCCTGTTTAGATTATCGTGAGTTTTGTGTTTTGAGCTGAAATAATCAAGACATTTCTAACCCTTGACGGGCTTATTTAATAAATTCTATAGCTTAGCTTATCAACGAAAGACAGACCTCAGTTAAGGGTGATATTGCAACATACAATTTTATCTAAAATATCCTTTACCAACAGATTTTATGCATCATTTTTGATTGCAATAATTGGTTCTGTATAGTAAGTAAACAATGTCTTACTTTGAAATTAGATATTATGGTTTCAATAAAAAGAGTAATTTTAGACTCATGTAATACATGTATACAATTCTCAATGTAAGAATTGAGGAGTATTTATTAACATAATGATTCAGTACATGTATTTTGATTTTAAATTCAAATTTACTTACGCTTTATAGCTTGAAGTTTAATAAATAAAACAACAACAATCAGTAGTATCAAGAAGAACACGACGGCAGTGACTATGAAGATAATCAAGGGATCTTCAAGTTGCTCCTCGCTATGAACTCTGTTGTCCTTTATTTGTGTAACTGGTTTATCGCCCTTCATGCTATATGAAAAAGAAATAAATTGTTTTCTTTTATACATAGGGAATTTTAAAGTATTTTCATTGGTTATTCCATACATCAAATTAGTGTTTCTTAATAGTTAATTACAAAAGAGATTCCATGGAAAACACAAGTTTTCCATGCCTCTCTTAGTTCATTATGATGCCAGCTGTACTTTGATTATATACAATTAAAAGAAATACTTTAATCGGAACTGTATTAGACACACGGACAACACGTACTTTGCATACCTTATAATTAAATCTTTTTGTGCAATGCTAGTTGTAAATTGAACACAATTAAACAATCTGTAGCCTTGGAAAAACTGTTACATATCGGGTGATATGATTTTGAAGAAGCTTAAATATTCTATCAAAATTGAATTTGATAATGATAAATTCTATTCAAGATTGGTTTAGGTTGTGGAATGACTGATAAAGATGATATCTGATTTATTTTCGATGATAGAGGATTTGATGGGTTTTTTTTTCGGAATAATCTCTAACTGTAGTCGATACCATTTGTTTCTCTTCTCTTGAATTAAATACCTCAGATTGGAATATGAAAAAGACCGGTTACTGCATAGAGGCAGAGCATTTGCTTCGGAGGTTCGTGGTCAATTATCATCCGCAGCGCCACGTCAATTCTAAGACATGGTAGTTACTGCTCTAAAAGATTGAGAATTTTCTAACAATCTGCTTTCTCTATATTGAAAATGAACGTTTTTCATACGAAACAAAAGCCATACCTGAAAAACCCTTCACTGCTTGGAGTTGTAGAAAATTGAATACGTTTGCTGGCAGTAAGTGTTGATTTATGAACATTTTTATTAATTCCTGCATGTGAAGCTTGCTTTTCTTCTTTCTTAAGTTGGAAGCATTCTTTATCTATTTAAATGAGAATAGTGCATAAACGTACAAATCACTTTCATAACATATCAGCTAGAGGGGAACATCTGATAAATCATTATCCGACTTGTGTGTTTCTGTTTGTAAACAAGTACATGCGTACATATAATATAAACTTTCTATAACCTAAACTGTTAATAACTTTTGTCTATCATTACAATAAACAGATTAAACAAGATGTGTTTGTGAAACACTGATTCCCCCGTATTGCAACTTAAAGCGAAGGTTAAACTTTCTCAAATGCAAATCAAATATGTTGGTACCCAAAGAAGTCCAGAGAAATATACCTGTGAAATAAGAAATTCCTTGCAGCAACCATTGAAAATATGTGGAAAAGGTTTTTTTTTTTTCAAAAGTAAGTCAAACATTAAGGTCAAGGTCATATGTTCAAAATTAATGATGCCCCAGGAAAGGCCTTCTCACAACAAATACACATGTTACATATGGAAGCCCTTGCACAAACCATTCAAAAGATATGGCCAAGGATAAAGTTTTTCAAAAGTAGGTCAAACTTCAAGGTCTAAAGGTCAAAGTTTTCATTATCAGATGGAAGGTCTTGTCACAAGGATTACATATCTGAAATATGAAAGCCCTAACACCAACTGCTCAAAACTAAACCAAGGTTAAAGTTTTCCAAAAGTAGGTCAAACTCCAAGGGCAAGGTCAATGGCCAAAAATTGTTGGTATCTGAATAAGGGTTTTGTCTCATGTAGTACACATGTGAAGCAGGAAGGCCCCAGCACCAACTGTTCAAAAGTTATATCCAAGGTTAAAGTTTTCCAAAAGTATACCAAACTCCAAGCTCAAGGTCAAAGGGTCAAAATTGTTGGCATCCAAAGGAAGGACTCGTCACAGAATTACACTTGTGAAGTATGAAAGCCCTAGCTTTAACCGTTCAAAAGTTATGACCAAGGTTTAAGTTTTTCAGAAGTAGGTCAAACTCCTAGGTCAAGGTCAAAGGTCAAAGTTGTTGGTATTCGAAAAACTTGTCACAAGGATTACACATATGAAATATGAAAGCCCTAACACCAATTGTTCAAAAGTTATGACCAAAGTTAAAGTTGTATAAAATTTTGCAAAAGTAGGTCAAAGTCTAAGGTCAAGGTCAAAAAGTCAAATATGATGGTACGCAAAGAAAGGTCTTGTCACAAGGAATACACGTGAAATATGAAAGCCATTGCTCCAACCAAACAAGAGTTATGGGCAATTTTAAACTTTTTGCGGACAAACTGACAAACAGACAGCTAGACGGAGGGACAGGGCAAAAACTACATACCCCCGAGTTTACGATACGGGAGCATAAAAACAACTTTAATATTGGTCCAAAAGTCTTGGAAGCAAGGTCTGGAAATAATCACAAATGCCCCTTAATATCAGGATGATGGAATCTATAAGGTACAAAAAAAAAACGTTCAAAGTATTTTAAACACATCTCCTGCAATTTGTCTGAAACCAAGATAAATGACTTCTACATGTTATTATATACACAATGACTTTTCAACCACACTGCCTTATTTTGGAAAACAAATATTTAATTGCATTCCAGTTCAAGAGGAAAAAAAATATTTTTCTTCTTTTTCAAAAAAAAAAAAAAAAAAAAAAAAAAAAAAAAAAAAAAAAAAAAAATCATTGCATGGAACAAAGTCTGCTTTTAGCATGAAGTCTTGTTAGATTTAACCAAGAACAAGCATGAAGCAAAAAAAATATGTTTCCACAGAACCACATGTTCATTCTCTATTTTTTCAATTTAGAAAATCTGCAAAAATCACCTTGCTACAACAATGGGTAGGCATCTTAGAGAGAGCAATCTGATCTGGTTATAACCTGTGACATTATATACACCATCATCTGTCTAACTTATTTTTGACTCTCCCAAATCTTTTCCAAAATAGCGATACTGGTCTTCAACCCTAAGGGACGGAATCTTTGATCTGAAACATTTGCTTTTTTTTTTTTTTTTTTTTGCTTTAGAAAAAAAACAATAATACTTTTTCAAAAGTTTTCTTTTTTGTTTTCATTGCATAAAACGGCGTAACTTTTTTTCAATATTTAAATCAGCCACAAATGTGAACACAAATGCATTTTCATTATTTAAAAAAAAGATAATAATATTAAAAAACAGGAAGAGCCCTGTCGTTGAGGAAAATTTGTCATACAATATGTACATGTGAATTTTTAATTTGCATGAAAAATTAATCACATTAAACAGGTGTATAGCAGTAATATTTTAAAAAGTTAATAAGACAATTCAGATTAAGCATCCATTTATACATATAAATGTATTACTTCTGTGTAAAAATTAATGTCTTTTGATTAGTTAATGTACACAACATTTTACTCTGTAAATTAATGAGGTGTAATTAGTACATTAATTGGCATCTGTAAATTAATGGGTGTGAATACATGTACGTGTAACACTTTCAAATGTATTCAATAAAAGCATCAATTCTACACGGTTCAGTTTAATCAACAAGAGGCCAGTGGTTCTTAATATTCATCTGATTCATTTTGGCTCTGCAGCCATGAATCGTGTATTGAAAGATTTTTCCTTAGTATAGACCATGACAAATTTCGGACTTATACCGTGACACTACTTTAGTCCCAACGGGTCATTTTATAATCAAACGTAAATTCCAAACTTTATAAGAAATTTGAATCTCAGAATACCACATATGAACATGTATACATACGGTATGTAAAAAAAAAAAAATCAAATTATAACAAAGCAGGTAGTTTTGTCATGTCCGTCCTTATCCCTCTAACCGTCTTTTTTCCCCATTTTTTAAACTTGAAGTTAGGCTGAGTTTAATAGATATCACTTATGACCAAAACTTCACTATCTTTCACTTTGCGTTTAATATATTTTCAGTATGTACAAATTCAATTACGTAATATTTTTTCAAACCTTGACTTTCCTTTTCACCTAGGTTTTCAATTATCAAGATCTTTTATGAAATACATAATTATTGGAAATTATTGATACTAGCAATTAAGCTTTTTCGTTTTTTTTTTACCTTGGTATAACATACACACTTGACCTCATATTCCTTCTTTTGCATTTGCCCTTGGTTCCAAAGAAACTTATCAAAATATTTAAAATATAGTTCATCTTATTGGGCTGCATGAAAGATTACTACATATAACCCCATTTTTATTAAAAACTCTAGTCCAAATTAAAAGAAGTCTGATCTCCTATTTAGCCCGATTATACCAACTGAAGCTCATGTATATTGATTTATTAACATTTTCCCGTTATTTCCCGATCATGACAAGGAGCACACGGCGGGTGTGACCGGTCGGCAGGGGATGCTCATTCCTCCATGGCACCTGATCCCATCTCTGATGTTTTGGAGGTCCGTGTTTGCTCTGCTCCTGTTTTGTATTGGTTAATGGACTTTTGAGATTGAATACTGTTCGTTTTCTCCATATACTTCATTTAAATAATTGCTTAATAAACTTTTTGCTATCGAAATCAAGATTTACAATTTTTCAAGATTTTTGCTGCTTATCAATTTTGTATAGTAACATACTCTATGCATGTTATATTTACTTGTAATATTTTATTGTGTATTATTTATGACTGTCACGCAAAGAAGTTAAATTTTCTGCAATCTAATGCATGCCCGTTTTCATAAGGAATTTAGAATACTATCCAGATTAACTTACATTTATAAACATTGGAGGAGATATACTTGAAAGGACAACTCTTGCATTTTTTTTCAGTATGTTCCTGGAGAAATTGGCCTCCAACTGTGAATTCTGTACACTGTCCACCTTAATCATTTAAATTTAAAATGAGGAAGAATAGCCATTATAAGCCAAATACACAATATGAATGAGCTAGAAATAATGATAGATTTCAGTTATACTTTATTTAACAATTCTTTCTGGACAAAAAAGTAAAAATATTAAAAGAAGAGAAAACTTACCTATTATGTCTACAACAGGTGCACACAGTTCGACGGTACCATTACCTATTGCATTTAGGACACAATGGTATCTGTATTTTTCAGCTACAGTGCAGTTCTGTTCGTACTGTTCACAGTTGGATATTTTTTCTCTTTCACCCCATTCCCTTTTAGTGGCTGGGCATTTAACATTATATTTAGCAGTAGTTAGAGAATGTGGACAGGGTGATTTCTGAGGAGCAATTATCACAAAGGATTTCTTTAAATAATCAGTGATTTCCTCAAACATTGTGAAAATGTAAAGCAGATATTGTTTGACTAAAAAGACATAAACCATATCTACTATCTTCTTATGACAAAAATGTATTTAAAAAGTTTGTAAAATATGAACAGTTGCAGTCAAAATATTTTAAAAGCATTGAAATTCAACTAAACAGTTTTTTATTTCATATTTTTCTTTTGCACGTTAATTATTATTAATAATAAAAAAAATCACAATACCCCTACTGTTTGTCCAATAGTTATGTATAAGAAGAGAAGACCTGCTCTGATGATCATATTGAAATTCTGTACGCAGGTACATGTAATAGCTGATAATTTCGCTCGGATTCTGAAAAAAAAAAGCATTTAACATACTCGTTCTTTGTTATTGTTTATTTGTTTTTGTTTGTTTTGTTTTTAAATTTTATTCATTTATTTATTGTTTGTTTGTTTGTTTTTTTTGTGTGGTTGAAATAAGTTTTTTTGTTTATAGATTTTCTTGCTGATTTTCAACAATATATTTGTATGTCTGTAACTATATAATACTGGGCTAAGATTTGACTCAAAATATGTTTGTTTGTTTGTTTGTTTGTTTTTTTTTTTGTTTTTTTTTTACAAAGAAAATCACTCAATAATATAACTTGTTATATCTCTATTAAGAATACTCTAATTTGATTGGCTTGTTAGAAGGCTTTTAAACTCAATGATGACTCAAAAAGTACCGTTTACAGCAATAATGACCTAGGACTCATTGCACGTGGGGTATAATGACCCAGTCATTATAAATAATGACCGCTAAAAATGACCGGTTAATCTAAATTCTATTTAAATTGAAAATTTATGCATACAGTCATGATTCTTCATTACAAAATCATGACTTTATAAAAATATGTATAATCTTTTTTATGACCAGGAATACGTTTGGCCTTTAGATGCGTCATAAAAATGATCGTTTTCATTGAAACTTTCGTTACGATGTCAAATTCGTCGAATGCAGACTCGGCTCTTTTGTACAGTAAAAGTCTGCACCAGATTGTCATTGTACTCGGGAATGGTATTTATGAATTTATAAGAATACATGTTACTGACAATCACAGAGTGTTTTAATAAATCGATGGTGCAAAAACTTACAAGACTTGCAGGCGAAAAGTAAACAACTTTACTCGCGAATCCCGATCCCGATGGAACACTGATAATAACAGTTCGTAGGTCTAATCCACAATTGATTATTTTAATAATTAAGCCTACAAATTTGTCTTAACTCATATCGGTATAATAAAACAATTGATTATCCCTTATGAGTTCAACATGGTGAAATAGGGACCCTCGACCTGGCCCACTCGCTGACCTGCCCTGATCTGACCTCGGCCGCGTAGCGGCCGAGGTCAGGTCAGTTCACCTCGTGGGGCAGGCCTCGGGTCCTTATTTCACCATGTTGACTTCATAAGGGGTAATTAATTGTGTAGTATAAGATAGATATATTGATCATATTAGATGATCTTTACATTACTTATAATCATAAACATTTGATATAAAATTAAATTATCACTGAATGCTTTTTTGAAATTCTACACCTTACGTAATACTGCGCTTTGGAGCGTCGGTTCAAAAGAAAAACATTGGTTAGGGTTCGAAAGATGCATGGAGACAAGGACAGAATAGCAAGTTTATCCATTCATGCAGAGCATTGCTTTTCAAGCAATGGTTCTCTGACCTTAATTCCAATCGTTGCCTCTAGAAATTAATAGTTCAATTTATCAGAAATTGGCATGATATTAAATAAACTTGCAAAAGGGTAATCTCATTTATCATGATCCTTACATTTATGTTGCGGATATACATGCATTCTGCTATTTAAATGATCTGTGTGCATGTATTTGTGTATATAAGAAGGAAAAAATGTCCTTACATATGTGACATATTTTCATTAGGATATATACGTTCCTTCTTTATACTTATGTGCATGTATATATACATGTTTATGTACAATGTGCAAATATCTTCCGTCTTTGTGAATATGGATTCGAAATGTTTATTACAAGTTTGCATGATCTTGTTTGAAATTGGGGTGCAGCCACTTATACCCATAGATTGTTGGTCATTCTATATGGATGCTTTGAATTAGTGGTGTTTTTTTTAATGATATTATTATACATGTATGAATTTTGTATGCAGAATGTGGTTGAAAAAATTCCAGGCCCTCTCCTTCACTTGAAATTAAGAAGCTAAGACTAAAAAATATATTTTTTGCGTTGTTTCCCGCTTTAAATTGTTGAAGCAATCAGCATGTTTTGTAATGAATGTACATGTGCAGTGTACCTGTTACAAGAATATCTTTGAATATAATTTAGTTTGGATTAGATCAGGCCCTTAGGAAGCAATTTCACTTCGGGGGGTGGGGGGGGGGGATAAACCCTAGAGAAATTCGTGACAAACTTTCAGAAAGTTTATTAGAGGTTTTTGAAGGAACGCAATCGTAAATTAGTTTGTTTTTTTTGTTTTTGTTTTTTTTTTTTTTTCTAATGTAAATTTTAAATTAGTATTTACTAGCAAAATTATTCATGGGGCACAATCTTCATTAGCTCTGTTTCTTTTCAATTATCAAAGTATATACTGGCAAAATTATTGAACTCCCGCCCCATTCTCAGTTCGTACAGGCCTTTAGATTATAATTATTTGTATTTATAGCAAAATGCCTACGACCACAACTGATTCAATTTCAAATACCAAAGAGCATCAAAAACATTATACAGATAATAAATTTGCGCAAGACTTATGTGTGATACATCAATTATGCCGAATGATAATGAATACAGAACTCATATGAGAAGAAGACATATACAGAAACCTATTGACAGAAAACCGTTTTTCCCCCCATATAAATTCTATGGAACGTAAACGCGCCGTATCTGCAAATATCTATGATTTTTTAATGCGCCTGTGGTGTCATGTTTGTGTGATGCTGTATCATCGATTCATTTTGCCCTGATTAAACCGATTGTCGAGTACTTTTGAACCGTCAAAAATAATCTTAAAACTCGCAAAGTAGAAAAGAATACAAGGCTTAATTAAGTATTGTTTTGAATAAACCTTTTTCTTTTTGAACTGTATACCCCCTTCCCCACCCCAACCTCTTCCAATATTCAACCACATAGCTTGTTGGAATTTTTTTTCTCACAAATTATATTGCACTTATTCATCATGTGAACCATAGAAAAAAATCGGGGAAACAAAAAAAAAAGTGTAACACTTAAAAAAAATTACCCAACTAAACGTATTATATATATTTTTGGGAGAAAGTCCAACAAGCACTTTGGTTATTCGGGAAAGTGACCAGTATATGTAACTTTTTTATCAATCATTTTTCATCCGTATGTCTAAGAGCTGGAAAACGAGGTTTGCAGGAAGAAAATAACCATAAACATTAGATATGAATGATAATTAATTCTTACTGAAATAAAGAAATGATGAAGACCAACAAGAAACAAGATGTGTTTGTGAAACACTGATGCCCCCGTATGGCAACTTATAGCAAAGGTTAAACTTTCTCAAATGCAAATCAAATAGTTAGTACCCAAAGTAAGGTCTTGTGCCGAGGAATATACCTGTGAAATATGAGAGCCCTAGCACCAACCATTGAATAGATATGGAAAAGGTTAAAGATTTTTCAAAAATAAGTTAAACATCCAGGTCTAGGTCAAATGGTCAAAATTAATGGTGCCTAAGGAAAGGCCTTCTCACAAGAAATATACAGGTAAAATATGAATGCTGAGGCACCAATCGTTCAAAAGTTATGACCAAGGTTTAAGTTTTTTCAAAAGAAAGTCAAACTCCAAGGTCAAGGTCAATGGATTGCAATTGTTGGTATCCAAAGGAAGGTCTTGTCACAAGGATTATATATGTGAAGAATGAAACCCCTAGCACAACGATTCAATAGATATGGCCAAGGTTAAAGTTTTTATGTCAAACTCCAAGGTCAAGGTCAAAGGGTCAAAGTTGTTGGCATCTGAAGGAAGGTCTTGTCACAAGGATTACATATTTGAAGCATGAAAGCCCTACCGTCAACCGTTCACAAGTTATGGCCAAGGTTAAAATTTTTCAAAAGTAGGTCAAACTCCAAGGTCAAGCTTTAAGAGTCAAAGTTGTTGGTATCCAAAGAAAGGTGTTGTCACAAGGATAACATATGTGAAGTATGAAAGCCCTAGCTGCAACGGTTCATAAAGCTATGGCCAATGTCAAAGTTTTTTAAAGGTAGGTCAATCTCCAAGGTCAAGGTCAAAGGGTCAAAGTTGTTGGTATCCAAAGGAAGGTCTTGCCACAGGAATTACACATGTGAAGTATGAAAGACCTAGCACCAATTGTTCAAAAGTTATGGCCAATTTTAAAGTTCGGTAAAATTTTGCAAAACTGGGTCAAACTCCGAGGCCAAATTCAAAAGGTCAAATATGGTGGTACCCAAAGAAAGGTCTTGTCACAAGGAATATAAATGTGAAATATGAAAGCCATAGCTCCAACCAATAAAAAGTTATGGGCAATGTTAAAGTTTTTGTGGACAAACAGACAAACAGACAGACAGCTAGACAGACGGACGGACAGGGCAAAAACTATATACCCCCGAATCTTCGATACGGGGGAATAATTACCTGCTAAATTTGATGTTTTTGATCAATGAAACGTTTTAGTGACCATTATTAGCATATTATAATGGAATAACCCGACACCGCTCTCTAATAGACTCTCTCACTTCTATAAATAAAGGAGACATTGATTTGTTGCTGTGTCATTGGTACTACAAAGAGCAAAAAAGTGAGTAAGTGATATTACTTTTTAATGTGATAACATTCGATCAGTGGCCCGAATAGAGCCGAAACTGTTCACTTATTTGGTATAATGTGTAAAAGAGGAAAATTGTATGCAATTTTATCATTTTAATCAAACTGTAAGCTTTAGAAATCAATTACTACAGTAAGTAATCAAAAAAAAAAAAAGTTTCGTGCGTAATACTTATCGATCAAAATATCATATGGA